ACCTTCGATGACATGAAATTTTGTGTTTCGAACTGTGTCAGACACATTGACCGGGAGGGTGATCTTCCCCTTCGTTGCTTCGCCGGCCATGTTGAAGCCGTTGAGGACTCGGGAGGTAGGTATGTTTTGATCGAGCAATTCGAGCTGCTCTACCACCTTCGACATGATTAAGTTGGTCGAGCTACCTGGATCCACGAGTACACGTTTAATTTGAACGTCATTCAAGAGAAATAAAATTACCAACGCATCGTTATGGGGATGAGACAAGGTCTCGAAGTCCTCTTCACTGAATGCAAGGATGTCCTCGGGCATGCGGCCCCGAATTTGCCCTACTGTTGCGGCGGAAACTTTTGCCTGCTTGATCACGGATCCTTGAGGAATGTCGGTCCCCCCAATGATCATATGAACGATGTGCTGGGGTTTCCCGTTCCGTTCCTCCTGTCTGCCCCTCTTTCCTACCGGGCAGGAATTTTTCGAGCTTCCTGTTGGTTTTCTTGGCGTATACTCCCGTTAGTGTGGGAGCTTATACTGACGTGCTGGGCGTTGCGTGAGCCCACATCCATGGGGATTGGTTCTGGTGCGCCCTCAGGGTTTGCAGTGGTACACCGGCGCCTGGAACAGCTACACCATTCTCCATGGTCCTCTGGACCATTGTTTTCATGTGCATTTACTGAGTTAGACATTTTGACCTGAAATCAAAGATTCTTGGACAAGAAAAAGTGTGAACGATAACTTGCCTTATTTAGTAACCAGCACGAAAATAATCACTATTATTTTTAACCCCACGGTGGACGCCAAACTGTTTACCTTGAAAATAGTAATTACAATTAGATTTGATTTTGTGGTTCTAAAAATATGTGATTTATTTTTATGCTAGTTGTTAGGCAGTAGATGCTAAGTATGAGACTAGAAAATAAGATAAGGGCTTGAAGATAGTATGATGTGCGAACCGAGTGCCCGAGAATCGGGGTCTCGAGCTATCCTATGTTGGGCCTCGAAGTTAAGCTAATGAGCTCGACTGGAGATGGCCGATGAAGGACTAACATTTCTAAGAGCTTTGATGAGGGCTCTTTATGATCAATGATGAGTAATAAATGAAGAACAATCAATGAAACGTAATAAATGTAAGCAATGTAAAAAATATAAGCAACAAAATCAAGGGAGAATATGTTTAAGTTAGAGACCAGAGAATGTTCTTGTTCTTGTATTGAATATCCCCCCCTAGAAAACGATGAGGGTCCCCTTTATATAGGAGGGGGAATCCCAACATGGTACGTGCGTAATTATTACAAAGAAATATAGATGGTACAACTATTTACTAATCTGGTACAGACTAGTACTACTCTGGCAGGTATTGTCAGCTTTGGTCGCGTGCCTTGGAACCTCTCGCTTGTCCATGATAGCCACCGATTTGTGCTGCCCCGAAGTCGAGCTAAAGAACCCTCGGGGTTGAACCTCGAGCTGTGCCTCGGGCCGTCCAGGTGAAGCTACGGAATGTCACAATGGTCATAAAATCAGACTCTTCGATTTTAGCCGTATACAATGCCATATGTGCCTAATCTAAGCTAGAACTTGGGAAAATGGAGCGGAGTCTGATCCGACAGAGGGGAAAAAACACCTTTCTTTTATATTAGGATCCTCGTCATCTCCATAATTTTTTGCAAGGAAAATGGTCTTTTCAGAAAGCACTATTAAAGTGTACGACCCTGATGGTGCCAAATACTTGCAGATTTTGATAGTGCATCGGAGACCAAATCAGGATCAGATAGACTATTAATGTAAGAAAATTTTACATCATTAAATTATCTTCACTTTAATTTAAAACTCAAAAGAATTTAGATGCTGAAATTTATGATGAAAAAGTGCCAGCTTCTCCATTTGTTATATGCATTTCAACTTTTCAAGAAACATTTGTCAAAGAGAATGGCATAAAGTGACTGATCGATATTGATCAAACCAACTTCTAATTAGAAACATAGTGAACATGACGATTAATGATCAAAGAATGAATATATAGATAAATACAGGAATTTCCATGTCGAATTTTCAATTAAGATGTTAAACAAGAGTACTTAAAATTACCATTTATATTGTTGAAACGTAGTTGTTGATATATCCTTTCTCTTTTCTGTCCATCCTTTTCTCGCCTTTTTTTAGTGTCACAACATTTTTGGTTGCTAAGATGGTTCGGGCATGTGAAATGGAGAACCACGAATGTCCTAGTTAGAAGGTGTGAGAGGTTGTCTTTGTGAGTATAAGGAGAGATAGAGGGAGGCCAAAGAAGTATCGGGAAGAGGTAATTAGGCAAGACATGGAGCTGCTTCAACTTAACGAGGACATGACCCTTAACAGGGGGTGTGAAAGTCGAGAATCATGGTAGAAGATTTGTAGGTAGTCAAGTGTTTTTCTTTTTCTTTCCATGCCAATAGTATCAGTGTTAGTCTGGTATTTTTCTTATTCTTAAATTGCTATTACTATATATGGTTTTCTTATTATCTTTCACTTCGATTTTCTTACCTGTTGTTACTGCTTGTTCCCACTGCTTCTTTTTATTTTATATTGAGCCAGGGATCTATAGGAAACAACGTCTCTATGTTCCCAGGTTAGGAGTTGATGTTAAACAGGTATCAACGGCGGAAGCAAATAGCCAGGATCACTTGCATATAATATAGACAACGCATAATCATAGATTATAATCAAATATAAAATCATACATATCTCTTGAAGCGTGACTGCGATCACAAAAAGACCTTCTTGCATGAGCAAAAACCATCCACGAAATCATCCTCCAGTTCCACAGTCTTCTGCTGTGTGACTCAAATAATGCCCGGAATTAGCAAAACTCGTGTGGGCGAGTTTCTCCTAGGAAAACCGTGTAGTAAAAACTATGGCCTCCTTATGGAATAAGACCCCTTTATATAGCCGCAGGTTTTAGGGTTTAAAACCTTTTCCTAGACCTGTTGGGTCTTCCTTTTTCACCTAGAAATATGATTTCATTTAATTCCTAATTATCCGGGCACAGCAGGGACCACAGTATTTAATTAAATAGGCTTCCTATTATGGACTTAATTCGAATATCCGAATTAATACTACCATAATAAATTATGAATTATTCCACTAAAAATTCGTAACTGCACTCCTCAGTTCAATTTCGAAATTCTTCCATTAAACCTTATTTAACTCCCCATGTTAAGATTCAGATACTAATCAAATAAATTAAATTACTGATAATTTAATTCATTGATTATTTCCTTTAGACTTTCGCTTAACTTATTTCATGTGACGGATAGAAAATCCACCTGCAGGGTTTACACATGAAAACTTATAAGCTTTCATAAAGGTGTATCATCAATCTCTAGACCGAGACATGGATTTCATCAACTAACTATTATTTTGTCAATGTATATCATTATTGTCCAATTTACCAAGCATATTGACCCACGAAAGAATCTCGTCTTTTAATAAATCAAAACAATAATAATATATACAACTAATAATAACTATATCAAGATTAAGAGTATAAGTACATTTAATGGCTAGAGAATTATTTTATTAAGTCGGTATAAAATGCTTATCTCTACTTGGTCCGTTCAATACATACAAAATGTACTAGCACAAGAAGTCGGAATTAAACCATTCCATAATCAAGATAAATTATATTTAATCTTGTGCTACAATCATTCCTGATGGTTTGTCCAATTTCATCATTAGATTGTGCACATGATCTTTATACTTATAAGAACCGATGATTTAATCTTCCATGTATAAGTTAAACTCTATACACTAAATCATCTACTATATAAGTAAAGGACTATATGATCTATTTAAAACTTTATTAAAATTGAATAAACAATTGTTCCACAATAAATACTATATCCAAACCAAAATCTATGGTTAATAGTATATATCCCAACAAGAGTTACATACCTGCATACTCACTATCCTCCCCAAACTCCTCTGGTAGGATTTGAGTGGTTCGTTGTCATCGTTACAACATAACTGGAGGGGAGAGAGAAAGAGAAAGACAAGGATTTTCTTTTAAGTCTTGTATAGTAGTATGTTATATTTTTACTTTAATTTATTTATTTATTTAATTTTTTTTTTTTTTTTTTGAGGAAAGGAGATGGAAAAAGGGACAAAAGTAAACCAATTTGGGCATGCTAGACAACGAACAGAAAAAGTAAAGATGTGAGAAATGAAAAAGATACTTAAGAGTGTCAATTTGAGGAAAGATTAAGGTACCTTTAACTCAAACAAGTAAAAGGTGAAGTCACAGAAAGACATAAGAACCCTAAAGTAGCAAAAACCTAGGCCAAATCACCACCAATTACTTGACATTTGTCAGTGATCTATACGATTAGACAATGACCTAAAATTTCTAAATTACACTTCAATCAAAAATTGTTCTGAATCTCCGAGGTATCATTTAACGCCCACTTGCATTTACTTTAGCATTGGGGAGATCTAGATTAATTAATTAGTAATGTAATAAGGTATAGTGAATAATTAACGCTTAATACTTATATCTAAGTATTGTCAAAACCTGTATTATATTTAACACAAAGAACTCCTAGCTAGTCTCTGCTTACACCCTTTCTTCCTTTAGTTTCTCACAAATTAGTAAGCTCCTTGTTGAGTCTTAATTAGATCTTTTTTTTCTTTTTGGCTATCCTTACTTTTCCTTTGCCAATTCATATATATATAGCTAAGAAAGCTTCTAATTTAATTTAATTACCGAATCTATCAATAGTTTTTTTCTCATACCTATCGAAATCAGTCTCTCTACCTTCACAAGATAGGAGTAAGGTGTGCGTATATATCACTCTCCCTAGACCCACTTGTAGGATTACACTGGATTTTTTGTTTTTGTTGTTGTTGTTAATTATACTAATTTTTGAATCTTCGAAATTAAGCTTTCTGATTTATATATTGTTTCAAATTAAAGGCTTCGGCTAATATATGTTAATTCTTTCTTTTAGCAGAGAAGAAAAAAGGAGAAACCCTGGATATATTGATAACAAAGAGAACAATGGGGAGAGGAAAGATTGCAATTCGAAGGATCGACAACATAACAAGCAGGCAAGTAACTTTCTCAAAGAGAAGAAATGGACTGCTCAAAAAAGCTAAGGAAATTTCAATACTTTGTGATGCTGAAGTTGGACTTATTATTTTCTCCAGTACAGCCAAGCTCTATGATTTTGCAAGCACAAGGTTAGATACAACTTTCCCTGTAATTTCTGGATTGGTATATAATTAGAAAGTTTATGCCTTGATTTTCCTTCTAATTTTCTAGGTCATTTTCTGAAAAAAGTCACTACTGTTTTTTTCTCAAACTTGCTTTATTTTTTTCTTTGAGTCGAGTATCTATCGGATACAGTCCATCTATCTCATACAAGGTAGCGGTAAGGTTTGCTTACGCATTACCCTCCCTAGACCTTGTGAGACTACACTGAATATGTAGTTGTTGTTGTAGTATTTTTGAAAAGAGTATTAATCCTTATCTTTTGCATTATATATAGTTATATACCAGTTATGTTTGTTAAAAAGAGTAAAGGAAAATTAAACGAGAAGCACTCTAGGGAAATGGTTAGGTTAATTCTTCAATGACTAAAAGATTAACAGCAATAACGAGAACCTTCCTCTATTTTTCTTTTTTTGTTTCATGTGTTTTCTCTCCTCCTTTTTTTTTTCAATTTTTCGTTTTAGGGTTCAAGTAAAACTGATAGATTTTCGAAGTTTTCCTAGCTTTCATCTCTTTGGTAATCATAACATCATTCATAAGATGCTTTACCGCTTTAATTTGGATTAAAACATTTAGATCACCTAAAACAAGCCTAGGGCAAATTACAAAGAAAATTTATTAAATGATATAAAATGATGTGAGGGTAGTACTGTAATTTCACCTCTTAAAGTTAGTTATTAGTGTTCATTAGTTAGTCAAGTTGTTAGATTAGTAGTTAAGAGATTAGTTAATTACTTGTATATATACGCGAATATATACACACAACATTCAGTTTCTGAGTAATGAAAAATACTCTCTCTTCCTCTCTATCATCTCTCTCCGTATCTCTCTACTCTATCCCTATCTTCTTCTTAATTCACAACATGGTATCAGAGCTTATGCTCGTAAAATCGAAGCTCATGATCTGAAATCCTTCTTCCGCATTCTTTCTCTGAAATTCTTGTTCTACATGTTACAATCGAGTGAAATTCTTGTTCTGAAATTCTGCATGTTCAAATTGGGTGTTGAATTCTTGATAAAGAATCACAGAAATCGAAAATGGCGATAAACGAAAGAATACCAAATCTGAATTCTGGGCTAAGTACTGGAAATCAAGTGAATCCAACAACTGGGATCGATTACAATCATCCTATTTTCCTTTCCCCTGCTGATGTTAGCAGAATTCAAATCATTTCATTTCAATTAACAGGTATTGAAAACTATTTTATTTGGAAAAGGTTTATGAGAGTTGCCTTGTTAGGTAGGAATAAACTTGGCATGGTTGATTGTACATGCAGTAAGGATAAATTCTCAGATTCGATGGGAAATCATTGGGAACGAGTAAATGCCATCGTTCTATCTTGGCTGATGAACTCTGTGGCAAAAGGTCTTCTTGGAGGTATTATGTATGCCTCCAGTGCTCAAACTGTTTGGGAAGACTTAGCTGAAAGGTTCAATAAAGTTGATGGCTCAAGAACTTTCAATTTACATAAAGAAATAGCCACCTTAACTCAAGGCTCTGCATCTCTCTCGGTATATTTCTCAAAACTTAAAGATCTTTGGAAAGAATTTGAGGCTTTGGTTCCTGCACCTGGGTGTGATTGTCCTAAATCAAGGGATTTTGTTAGCTATCTACAAAAGTTAAGGCTATACCAGTTCCTAGTGAGGTAAAATGAGTCCTATTCACAAGCTCGGAGTCAAATACTTATGAAGACTCCTTTACCTACTGCAAATCAAGCCTATGCTTTAATAGTGAGTGATGAGAGTTAAAAATCTATAGTAGCTAATTCTGGGATTCTTGGAGCCAATCCTATACGAAATTTTGAAGTTGCAATGTATACTAGACATGGTGAAGGTGGTCAAGGCCAAAGGTTCAAGAAAAACTTTAATGTTCAATGTGATTATTGCAAGATGAAAGGCCATATGAAAGAAAACTGTTATAAAATTGTTGGATATCCTCAAGAGCTCAGACAAAAGAAGAGAGGAGGATATAATGCAGCTCATAATGTCAACATTTTGAATGAGAATAATGATAATCAAAATCAGAATTCTGACGTACCTACTGGTGCATATGGCAAAATGCTAATGTTTTAAATCAGTCTACTTGTGGAAGTCAGATGTCTTATGGTCAAGGACAGGAAGCAGTTGCAAATCAACTGGGAAATTACACATTCACAAAAGATAAATATGATCAGATTGTGCAGCTGTTGAACAAAGGAGTAATCTCAACAATCACTAACAATGAAGATTCAGCTGCTAATGCAACAGGTATAGATACTGATACAGCATTGTTGGTTTCAAATGGCTCACAGGAATGCATCATAGACACTGGTGCAACAAATCACATGGTGTCTGATACTAATCTTCTAAATAAGTCTACTATAGTTCAGACAGCCAACCCTAAGAAAGTTTTATTACCTAATGGAGATGTGTCACTAGTTACACATACAGGGGCAAGTTCAATTTCTGATAAGAGCACTATATCTAATGTCTTTCATGTGCCTTAATTTAAATATAATCTTCTTTCAGTTTCAAAAATGACAAAAGAACTACAGTGTGCTGCAACATTATTTCCTGACTTTTGTGTTTTCCAGGATCTCTTCACTGGGAAGGTGAGGGAGATTGGTAAAGAAGTAAGAGAACTATACATACTACTAGCTAGACTGGCAAGGAATAGGTGAAGGGCTGAGTATGCTGCAAAGGGATTAACAACAGGTAAAGCAAATTAGATCAATGTGGAGTTATGGAATCAAAGATTTGGACATGTGTCTGTTATAGTATTGAAGAAAATGCTGCCAGTAGTGTACAAAATATCAGAGATAAAATAGATAAATGCATAATCTGTCTTGCGCTAAACAAACTAGATTGCAATTTCCTTCTAGTGATATCAGAAGCATGTACTGTTTCGATTTGATTCATGTAGACCTATGGGGTCCATACAGAATAGCTACATTTGATGGTAATAAGTACTTTCTTACAATTATAGATGACTACAGTAGAATGACATGGGTGTTTCTTCTTAAACAAAAATCATATGTTAGAACAGACAATGGCACAGAGTTTGTATATTCCTTGTGTGAGCAATTGTTCAAAAATCTTGGGATGATTCATCAAAGAAGTTGTGCTTACACTCCTCAACAAAATGGAGTAGCAGAAAGAAAGCACAGACACATTTTAACAAGAGCTATAAGACTACAAGCCAATATTCCCATAAGGTTTTGGGGTACTGCATTCTGGTTGCAGTATACATTCTTAACAGGTTACCTAGCTCAGTAATTGCAAATATATCTCCTTATGAAAGGCTGCATAACATGAAACCTTCTCTAAATCACTTAATAGTGATAGGCTGCCTATGTTTTGCTAAAGTAGTTCAGGAACAGGACAAGCTAATGTCTAGATCAAGGGTATCTATACATATGGGATATTCAGAAGTTCATAAAGGCTATGTTCTATATGATCTAGAGAATAGGTCATTCTTCATCAACAGAGATGTAATATTCAAGGAAAATATCTTTCCATTTAAAAGAACAAATTCTTCTTCAATACCTATATTTATAGACACTACAACAACTGTAGGGTCATACATGGACAATTCAGAAATATTTTTTTAACAAAGGGTTGATACACAAGCTGATGCAGGTCACAATGGTGATAATTCAGGAAATTCATCTACAGCTAATGACATTACAGAAGAGAACTACAATTCTGAGTCAATGCATGACTTCCAAAATCACAATACAATTGAGGGGGAGTTACAAGCACAGCAGGACTATCAGAACATATCTACTGCAGCTCCTCATACCAGAAGTCAAGTGAATTCAAATCAACTCACTATGAGAAAGTCCACCAGAGATAAAAAGCCACCAGTATGGTTGAAAGATTTTGTTTCTCTAAATATTCATCAAGAGATACCATATGCCTTAAATAAATATATAAGGTATGATCATCTATCTTCTAAATATCAAGCATATATTGCTGCCTTCTCATCAACTACTAAACCTACTACATATTCTGAAGCAAGTAAAGATCCAAGATGGATACAAGCCATGAAAGAAGAAATAAAAGCTCTTGAAAGTAATAATACCTGGACACTAGTCACATTACCAGAAGGCAAGAAACCTATAAGATGCAAGTGGATATATAAAATCAAGTACAAGGCATCAAGAGAGATAGAGAGATTTAAAGCTAGTTTGGTTGCAAAAGGTTATAGTCAACAAGAAGGAATTGACTACCAAGAAAGATTCTCACTAGTTGTAAAAATGGTGACTGTTAGAACAATATTAGCTCTGGCAGCAGCTAAGCAATGGCATATACATCAAATGGATGTACACAATGCTTTCTTACAAGGTGATCTATTTGATGAAATCTACATGGATTTACCATAAAGATTTAGGAGTCAGGGGGAGAAGAGAGTATGCAGACTCACTAAATCCTTATATGGACTAAAAAAAGCTCCTAGGCAATGGAACTTGAAACTGTCTGAAGCTCTTTTGAACGTACAGTTTAAACATAGTCAGTTTGATCATTCCTTATACATAAGGAAAACAAAAGAAGGTATGGTGTTAGTACTGATCTATATTGATGATATGTTAATTACTGGAAGCAATTTAAATCTGATTCATAACACAAAAACTTCTCTACAGAACATCTTCAAGATGAAAGACTTGGGAGAGTTAAGGTACTTTCTGGATTAGAATTTGCTAGGTCCAACAAAGGTATTGTTATGCATCAGAGGAAATACACATTAGAACTCATAGCAGAAGTTGGATTAACTGCAGCAAAACCCTCAACTACACCAATTGATATCAATACTAAACTTACAACAAAACAGTATGATGAGCAGATCTCAAATGATGAAAGATCAGTTGAAGATCCTGTTGTAGATCAGACAGCCTATCAAAGGTTAATAGGTAAACTTTTGTACCTAACTGTCACTAGACCGGATATAACTTATGGAGTTCAAACTCTAAGTCAGTTTCTTCAACAACCAAAGAAATCTCATATGGAAGCTGCCTTAAGAATAGTGAAGTATGTGAAAAACAATCCTGGACAAGGTATATTGTTATCAAGTCAATATAATACAACCATCACAGCATATTGTGATGCAGATTGGGCAGCTTATCCAGTCACTAGAAGATCTGTCACGGATTTTAAAGGTAGGCAATTCTCTAGTGTCTTGGAAATCCAAAAAGCAAACTACTATATCAAGAAGTTCAGCAGAAGCAGAGTACAGAAGCTTAGCTATAACAGTAGCAGAATTGACGTGGCTAGTGGGAATGTTAAAAGAAATTGATGCAGAAGTTAAATTGCCAGTAGACATATTTACTGATAGCAAAGCAGCTATTCAGATTGCTGGTAACCCTGTTTACCATGAGAGAACCAAACATATAGAGATCGATTGTCATTTCATAAGGGAAAAAATTCAACAAGGTCTAGTCTGCACAAAGTATATACCTACCAGTGATCAACCTGCAGATTTGTTCACAAAGGGATTGAGTAAAGTTCAACATGCATATCTGAGTTCCAAGTTAGGTGTTTTTTGATATTTTTGCACCACCTAACTTGAGGGGGAGTGTTAAATGATATAAAATGATATAAGGGTAGTACTGTAACTTCACCTCTTAAAGTTAGTTATTAGTGTTCATTAGTTAGTTAAATTGTTAGATTAGTAGTTAAGATATTAGTTAATTACTTGTATATATACACGAATGTATACACACAACATTCAGTTTCTGAGTAATGAAAAATACTCTCTCTTCCTTTCTATCATCTCTCTCTGTATCTCTCTACTCTATCCCTATCTTCTTCTCAATTCACAACAAAATTGTTACTGATGAGTGTGGTGTGGCTAGATAATTAAGTCAAAAGTTCTCTTAAAGGATTTAATTGAAAGCAAAAAAAATGGAGGAGATTTGGACAAGTAGAATGAAGTTGGGAAGAGGCATAATTTTGAACAAGTTATGCCCAAATTGAAGTTTTATATGTTGCTTGGTCTTATATCTACAAAACTTCTAAAAACGAGGACACAATTTAAACATTGGCTCAAAGTATCAATTTTGAGTAAAATTTTGAACCAGGTTATATTATCATGACTGAGTTTTTTTATCTGTTTTAGGATTAAACCTAGTAATTCTATGACCAGTTTGCATGTGAAATCGTTAGTGAAGTTTATGTGTCTGCATGCATGATACATATATTCTACTCCATATATGCAAAGCTTTAATATTATTACTCTCTTTCTAGCAGGGATTATAAGATGAATATAGAAAAAACATGCACGTAAAACACAAGCACCGTTAAAGAACATTGGGAGACAAATATCACGCTGATATATATAAGAGAGAATTTAGAGTTTGGTACTATATATTAGAGTTAATTACACAAAAATCTCAAAGTAAAATCATTGGAATTATTTTCTAACTATAAAGTCACTCCAACTTTCACTTAATTTCCTAAAATTTCATTCTTGCCAAAATCTAGTTTCCAGACGTCAGGAAATCACCTCATTTTATTAAATACTCCTCCCATTTTAAAAAGATTGTCCTAATTTAACTTGTCAAAAACTTTAATAAAGAAGGGAAGACTTTCGAGATATGTGGTCTTAAATAAGCCACAACAGCCGTGTGGTTGTAAAACTTTTGAAACTTATGGTCTTAAACCTACCATAGGTGGCTATAAATGCTTCCTATTAAAGAAATATTGAATTGTGTCCATCTTTTGTAAAAGAACTAATAAGGAAATAGTGCCAATTTTTAAAACAGATGGAGTATATATCATTTGAAACTAAAAATGCTCCCAAATAAATTGCCCTGACCCAAAACCCTACCCATGATCATGTTATCGTGAAGTTTAATATAATACATTTGCAAATATATATGTGACAGTGCTGCAATTTTCCTATTATTATCAGCATGAGATCTGTAATAGAGAGATACAACAAAGTGAAAGAGGAAGATCATAACCTCATGAATCCTATGTCAGAAGTCAAGGTATATAGCTCTTCATCAAACAGAAAGTTTATTCCACATATATATTTTTCTCTCCTTTAAGTTTATATTTGCTAAAGGCCGCGAAAGTGGCTATTTCTCCAAATCAACCAGGGTTAGACTTGCAATGAGCAAAACCATGGACCTCCCAAGTCCTAAAGAAGAACTTGAAGAATTAACTTAATTAGTTGCATATCCAATTGCTTAAACTTAAAATAGCCAGTTGATATATAATATATGTATATCATGTATATATGTGTTTAATCGTGTATAATTATTATATAATCTATATATACTGGCTAGAAAAAGTAAACTGTGAATTCGACCAACAACTTGTGTAAAAATCCCAAGGCTTAAAACAATCTTTTAAGGCAAAAGACGTATGCATTAAATTTCTAACCAACGAATCAGTTTAGTTAGGGAACACGGAAAGAATAAAAAAAATACGGGGAAATATAGGTGGGGTACTTTACCAACTAATTTTAGCCTATATTCTTTTTTCTAACCTAAATTAGCCTATTTTATACTATACTTTAAAACTTCTTTAATTTCACCTATTAACAGTTATTAAGAAGATCTGTATTAAAAACTGACTTTAGAGTGATATTCATGTTTATCATCATCGATTCAAACATTTATTGGGTGAATTTAAAGTGAAAAATTAAAAACTTCATTGTTAGAGTTTTTACAAACTTGAAAACTCATATATAGGGTTTGTGATTTGTTGAAATTTTTGTTGACAAATTGATGATTGAGGCTCATTGTAGGTCAAATTTGAAGGTATTTGGTGAAAATTAGAGTTATTTGGTGATGTTTTTTTTATGAGTTGAAGTTTGTAGGAGACGAAATCTAATTTCTTTTTTTTAAGTGTATCGTCTTGTATAATGTTGTATGCCGACTATATAAACATAGTTGCAAATAATGGCTATGTAGTTGTAAACTCAAAAACATAGCTACCTACACACAATGTAGGGGGAAATGCACAGTTAGCCAGTAATAAGACATGTATTTACTTTTAAGCCACTGTTTAAAATATCTTTAGTCTTTAGTCACTGCTTTACTAAACTTTTACCCGTCTGGACGAAAATACCCTACTGCTGTAATTCGCTGAAACCTACAAAAATTAAGGACACTTGGTCCTGAAGTTAGAGTTGGAAGTTCAAAATTTAAGGACAGGTAGTCCTTAACTTAAAGTTACAAGCACATAAATTAAGGACATGTAGTCCTGAACGTAGAGTTACAAGTTCAAAAGTTAAGGACAAGTAATCCTAAACTTAGAGTTACATGCTCAAAAACTAAGGACAGACAGTCCTTAACTTAGACTTACAAGCTCATAAATTAAGGACAGTTAGTCCTGAACTTACAGTAACAAGCTCATAAGTTAAGACACTTGGTCCTGAACTTAGAGTTGGAAGTTCAAAAATTAAGGACACTTGGTCCTGAAATTAGAGTTGGAAGTTCAAAAATTAAGGACAGGTAGTCCTTAACTTAGAGTTACAAGCACAGAAATTAAGGACAGGTAATCCTGAACTTAGAGTTCCAAGTTTAAAAAATAAGGACATGTAGTCCTGAACTTAAAATTACAAGTTCAAAAGTTCGGGACAAGTAGTCCTAAACTTAGAGTTACAAGCTCAAAAAATAAGGACAGGTAGTCCTTAACTTAGACTTACAAGCTCATAAATTAAGGACAGCTAGTCCTGAACTTAGTTGGAGGAGTAGGAGTAAGGACACTACCGCCTTTTCATATTAATTTTAATAGACTAGTGGCTAATTTTGCTCAGCATTAAAAATGTTGGATAAAAGTAAATACCACTTTAAAAAGTGGCTACCCCACGTAATTTTTACCACAATGTAGTGTGCTAGGCTGTAATTTTGTAAAAATCCCTCAAAGAATAATCAGTATAATTCCGGGGAAATTTTTGGTTTAATTAGTATTTCATGGTATATTTTAGGAAGAGTTTAAGTTCACTACACTAATACGACAAAAGAATTTGTACTATATTAAGGCCCCAAAAAGATAATTAGAAGTTGTCAGTGTGATTGGTAGTCTAGAATAAATCATACCATAATTTTGGTACAACAGGTTAAATATGTAAAATTCCTTTATCATTTTCTTTTGATTCGGTAAGGTAACTTTTATTAAGAAACTTAAAAAAAGTACCAAGGGGATACTTTCAAAGTACAAGCAAAACATCATAGGAAAAAATTACAAATAAAGATTCTACAATTCCATAAATTCTAACAGCTGCACCAAGTCTCCTACTACCCTTTCCTTACACCAAAAATATAGATTCTGCAAATTAACAACTATTTTTCAGCGTAGGAACCTGGGTCCTCTGATCTTCAAAACATCTTTTATTCCTTTGTAGCCAGATGGTCCACATGATGCATAAGGGAATGGTCATCCACATCTTATTCTTCCTTTTGCCTACTGATTGACCCTGCCAACTTTCCAGTAGGCTTCGAACACTGTTTGGAATTGCCCACTTAGATGTTAAGGAATAGGTCCCAAATCTGTCTCGTCTGCCGGCAATGAAGTAACAAATGATTTCTACTTATATAAATTAAATCCTTTTAGGAAGAGAGCTTAACGTCTATATACGATCGTGCAAATGAAAATAGAAACCTGAATAATAAAACAACTGATGAGTAGTAAACAAGACTCCTGATGAGTGGCAGAGCTAAGAATTTATCCAAGGGTATTCAAATTTGAAAAGAAGTGGGAAAAAAAATCCCGACAAAGGGTCTTCAATATATGTTATATACCTCTAAACTGTAATATTTTACCTATATACATAGTGCAATTTTTCGACCAAGGGTGATCAATTGACCACTCTTATAACCATGTGGTTTCGCCACTGCTCCTGATAGGGCCAAAACCGAATTCAGAGGTGATCCTCCCTTGATAATTTTGCAAAGAATATCCAATATCCATTTGAAGTTGGAATCAACAACAACAAACCAAATGCAATCTCACAAGTGGGGTCTGGGGAGGGTAGTGTTTAGGTAGACCTTACCTCTACCTTGTGAAGGTAGAGAGGCTATTTCTAAGAGATCCTCGGCTTAAGGATTTGAAGTCGGAATCATTTAACTGAAATAGATGCTGCTTTTGGAACATTTCTAAAACCAGCATTAGGAGATGACAATATTCCATGTTCACAAAACTTCTGGATTGCAAAAATACCAATTACATCAGTCATCCAGGTAAGGACTTAAACCATAAAAAAGCCTACCAATTCTAACAGTTCATGATGTCCAAGGAATAAGAAAACTATCGCATGAATCCAGAACAATCCTCGCTCCTCAACCAAGTATGTTAACATGGTTGGCCTGCCTTGTTTATGGCCTAAGCATTGTCGTTGACACATGAAATGGCACCATCTGCTTTGCCTTGGTATCCGCTTTTCTCTCATTCACCTTCTCTTCACTCCTCTCCTACATCGCGCTACTATGGTTTATGTTACTACATCTCATCGTAGGATCAAATGCCAAATCATCATTCAACTGTTGATCTATTGAACTCTCGGATAATTGTGAAGAATCACCTAGAGAGGTTGCCATTCTCTTTGAGCAGGATAAGGAACAGCTGCAAACAGAAGACACCAATCAGGATACCAAGTTGGTAAAGGCAAATTATAAACTTCTCTATATATATATATATCCTTAGGGTCTATTCTAGCTGCTCTCCTATGCAGCCAACAGCTAACTGGCCATCTTTTCAGACTTTGTGGGAAACTTTAGGAGCAAGAGGGCAGCCAGGCGCACTAAGCTCCCGCTATGTGTGGGGTCCGGGGAAGGACCAGACCACAAGTGATCTATTGTACGCAGTCTTACCCTATATTTCTGCAAGAGACTGTTTCCACAGTAATATACTGGAGTGGTCTGGCCTGAAGTAATATTCTATTTGTCGCTTGTAATCTAACTACTTAACAAGTTCTCATGAGTGAAATGAAAACCGGCTAGAGTCTCCAAGCTATTTAAAATGGTAATGAAGACCGTCTCAACAAGAGGGTCGATCTGAAAATTGGGAGTTTCTTCCGCTGACACGATTTGATCTATTCTAACATTCAAGTACAAATAGGGAAACATTACCTTAAGAATTGCAACACCTAAGCTATTATGTGACAGGTAAAAGAGCTACCTTTCATCGGTTCTGAATAAATTCAGTAAATATTCTAAATAATTTACCAAAGCCCACAATAACTATGTTGATCTCTTCCCGAAATATAGACCTATATTGGCCCTCATGTTCCAATATTGACTTACAGCAATCTTTGGACTCTATTGTAAACAGACTTGATCTTTCCGGTTCCCGCAACAGTTCACTCTCCATACTTTTACTTGATCATTCTAGGTGTTTTATTCTTGTTTCGTCTGCATACATTTAGCTGGTTTCAACATCCTTCTTCCAAACCTCCATGGCAATTAGTAATAAAATAAGGACAGCGGAGCACAAAGCATCCCGCATTCACGCAGGGTCCGAGAAAGGGCCGCACCCCAAGGAGTGTGATGTAGACAACCTACCTAATGCAAGCATTAGTGGCTGCTTTCACGTCTCGAACCCATGATCTATAGGTCATACGGAGACAACTTTACCGTTGCTCCAAGGCTTCCCCTTCTCCACTGCAATTAGTAAGTACAAAAATTCTTTCTAAGTCTCAGAACCAAGTGCTCACTGGTTCAGCAGCTTAACTTATCACTTATTTTTGCTTCTGGTCATCTTGTCTAAAGGACAGTTAAAGATGAAGGGTTGGTGCAGCATAAATCGACTCAATTAGTTCAGTGCTCTAGAACGAGATAAACCACAGAAGTACCATCCAAAAACAGATAAGTTTTGGAAAATAGTCGGAATCTTTAGCCAGGAAAAGAATGCTGAGGCAAACTTATAGAGCATGAGTTGGAGTCTCCAACTAAGGGCAGCCCGGTGCACTAAGCTCCGGTTATGCACAGGGTGCGGGGAATGGTCGGACCACAAGGGTTTATTGCACGCAGCATTACCTTGC